TTAGTCATACTGTATATCACTGCTAGTGTCTGTATGGACAATACTCCTGACAACTGCTATAAATCTGCGGCTGAAGTTTGAAAGGAAACGAGCAGTGATGACAGTTTCCATGCCGCCCGCACATGTTCATCTCAACTATACAGCACTGTCCCTGTCCCTGCTCTGTTATTAGTGACAGATCAAACCCTGGAAACATCATTTATCATTCATGTGCAATCGTTCCATTACTGTCACATTATCAACGATCCCAGTTTTAAAAAGTTTTATTTGATGATTTAGACAAAAAGGAAAAAATTTCACTTTTGCTAGTGTGAAAAAGTGTCTTGTCAAAAAAATATTTTTGTGAACATTTGAATTTCAGACAAAAAAAGAGCAACTTTTTGATCTTAATCTTATTTGTAGGTTTTATATTACATGGTTCCTGCAATGTTCATTCCAGCATTTGTCTGACGTGATCACACATCGAGGTGGAACTCTCATATCAGTAAAAGCAAAAAATGTTCCTTTAAATTTTAAGTTAGGTCAAAAAACATCTGTTAAAGGCTTTAGCGCAAAGCAACATCCTGCAGTTCAGGGCTTACGAGTATTGTATTCTCTGAAATATTTCTGTAGTAGTGGGAGAATTTACGAAACGGAAAAGGTCTAATAATAATTACACACACACACACACACACACACACACACACGCACGTCTTTTTATCCTCTGAAGCTACAGTAAAGATTTCTGCAGTAATGCGTATTACACACCCAGGTCTGACAACAACACACTTCTCACACTGTTATCGCACTGCTCAGTGCATTCTATCAAAGACTTAAACTCCAATGCTATTATGCTGCTGTAGATTAGGTGTGAACTTTGGGATTACCAAATTATTTTTTTTTTTGTAAAATTGTGTCTAGTTTGGTAACACTTCATCATTTCTAAGTAGTACATAAATGTAATTAACAAAAAACAGACATATAGTAATAACTGGTATTTTTAAGTGTATATTAATGTATTTGTCAGCAGTTTTATCTCCTATGAAAACACATTTTTTACAGTATCATTACAACAACTGTTTTACTATGTTGTTGTTCAATATCTGCTTATACAGTAGCATCTACTTATGGCAGCATATTGACAAATGCAATCATCTGCTTACAACTCCATTATACAGTGTGATCAAAAAGTTCATATTAAATGTTTATAAATGCTAAATGTGCTGCTTCATGTTTCAGGAGCTTTTAAAGCCTCCTGTGCTGCACTAACACAGAGGGCACGCAGCTTTTCGATAGGGTTACCTTTCCATTAGTTTCAGCAGAAGCCAAAAACTCACTGCTGCAGCAACAAGACAAAACTTTACCCAGTAGTGAAAGTTGCTTATTTTGCAATGGTGGCCAAACCCAGAGCAGGCACTAAATGACCACGTTGACGTTAACTGTATGTGAGAAAAGAAGTAAAGTGGTAGTTGCATGTTTGCTTTGGTGATAGTGACACTGAGCTGTGTTTGCTGTAACCCTTCCTGCCTGTGTGACTGACAGCCACAGCAGGTCTACCGACTGTGTGGAAAACCGGCTGATCAAACATGTGGGGAATGGTGTTAGAGTGCACCTACTCACCTCTTTTTATTCTCCTCTTTATTTCACTGGGTTTGACCGGTGGCTGCTAGATTTGTCTCTGAGGCTTTGTGCCAAAATCCAAGTATTCAACTGGATTTTACATTTGAAATACAGTAGCTTCTACATCATGATGAGTCTACACTGAATCTAAACTCACAGTGATTATTTAAGGGTTAGTAGCTCTTAAAGGCACCACATCTCTTCAGAGGGGGGCACACATGTATAAGGAGAATCATTTATTAATTACATTTATAATGAAAATCAAATGCACTGAATGGCTGATGCATGGAACCAGAGTGCTCTCAGAAGGGAGCAACAAACCTGGGTGATACCTCATGGTTTCATCATAAAAGTCCAGTACTGGCCTGATATGAATGTTACAGAAGTGACTACACTTTATGAACATGGGTATTAATATTTAATATTTAATATTCAGTACCTTGTTAGATTATGGCACCAGGCTTAATTTGGGCTAAGCAAACATATGATGGATTTATTGATCTAAATTATTAATTCAGTCTCAATATGAATGGAATGAGTCCTGCAGTTCATTGACCTAGTTACTGGAAATAAAATAGAAAGAGTGAGATGACATAATAAAGCCAGTTCAGTCTAAATAAATGTATTTACAATATGATCAGGATGAAAAATGCAATGAAATGGTTTGTACATTTGTAACAGACATGGAGCCAGTGGGTGGCTGGAGGGGCGACTGGTCTGTTGTTAGCTATGGTGGAAGAGTGAGTTACTCTTGTCAAAAATTAAGCTAGATTTTAGACCTAAATTCTGTGGTTTAGTGACTAAATCTGGAGAGAAAACTGTCAGTTTTGATGGATTAGAGGCTTTAATTAAGTGAGACTATGGTTTTCATGAGACATTAGTTTGCCAGGTGCACTTAGCTTTTAGCAGGGCTCACGTGGCCAGGGAAGGAGGAGCGCTGGTTCGAACCTTTTTGGGCCAGAGTCGAGTGTGGTCCGGAGTTCCGAGATGGTATACAGTCTTCCAGCTGTAAGGGAAGTCGTACAGGAGGCAGGATGTATTTGCTTACAAAAGGCCCCTGTAGTTACCCAGAGTCAGAGCACACTGCTGGAGGTTGGTGAAAATCTGTCTGCTCCTCAACACCTGAAATCAAAGTTAGTTTATTAATTATGAATATTCTGAGCTCCTCAGAATAAAGCACTCTTCAAGTCTACTTCAAGATATTCTGTGGACTTGTGGGAACTACATCAGTGTAACCCAGTTTCATACACAAACACACTCCCTTATTCACACACCAGGAAATCTGACCTCATACAGTGACCAGAGTGTGTGTAATAATACCTGCTTGAGGCCCGGAGGAAATACCTAGCCCCAGCTAACCTGCTAATAGCCTTCATTTATAAGGTAAACAGTAGAAGCGTTTGACACTCACTCACCTAGGGTGCTTTTCCTCTGCTGCGCTGCCTCTCCTGCCTTTGGAGGGACTGGTGCTGGGAGGGGGGACTCCAGCAGCAAAGTTTCAGCCTGCCTCCACCATGCTATCTGTTAAAGTAATTTTCTCTCAAAGAGGAATTAATTTCCTTTTTCAGGCGGCGCACAGCATCGGTGGTGCAGCGTGTGTCGTTCACAAGGATCCCGCCACTGTTCAAACCTGTCGGAGCCATGAAACCTCTCCGACAGCTCAAAACTGTGATTCTGTTTTGTACTTGCTTTTAATTTGACCTGTATATACTTTACATTTATACTATGATCAGTGACCAGTATTACAGACAGTCAGCTTGAGATTCAGATATTTAGAGGGAGGTATGAAGTATTTATTTACTGAATGATGTTATCATTATAGCTGTCAGAACGGAGAGATTTTACTGCTTGGACTAAAACCAGCTTTTTAAAAATGTCCCCATGAAACCATCCAGACCAGGATTATTTGCCTTTTTTAAGCGCCGTATCGTCTGTTGTGTAAATGAGTTTGAGATGAAAATAAATGTCTTACATCTGTTTTTATTTTTATCTGACTCTTAGCATGAGAAAATAAGATCAGTCTTTTTGACTCCAGACAATTTACCAACTGTTCTTCTTCCCTCACTTCTACAAATGACACGTTTATTGCCAGACCAATTCAGCGAGACACTGATGTGAGGACGGACAATGTGTGATTTGAATGTTTGATGGATTTTAAAGTCATGGGAGGTTGAAATATTTCATCTTATATAAACTTCGGGGATTTCCAGGATTTTTCCTCTGCTCACTCTCGACTCCACAGATATTATTTTTTGGCCTATGTGCATTAATTTCAAATAATGACGCAAACTGTTACAAATGATTTTAATAAAAAACATTGTGTTGACATATAAAAGGGTTCTTTTTCACTGCGGGCCAATGCTACAGTGACTAGCAGAAAATCTAAAGTGACCAAATTTACTTTGAAATAATGGCTGCTATTTCAACTTTGTGGCCTTGTGTCAAAAGTCAGACTTGTATCTATATTGATGTGTTTGTTGGTTTGATGATGATATTTTATTTCAAACTGATGCTAAACACACACACACACACACAAACAAAATTTTCTTACAAAATGTTTCCTTGCACTGATTTAAAATAGATTATGTCTAGTAAGTAGCCTACTTGGATGACAAAACCCTAATATAACTGCAACATTTTCTTCTAATTATTATTTCATAATACAACTTTTCATATTTTCATTGCATTAAAGACACAGAAGCACAGTGACTGACTGGAGCATCACAATCAAAAGAAACCATTAATGGAAGCAACAAGTATCCTTGTCTACTTCCACAGGACTGACAGTATTTATAGAGGTCAGAACTGACAAAGATGAGACAACATGCTGAGTTAACTCTTTCCACTTCTCCATACTCCCTCACCTCCCTTCATAACCCCTCCTCCAGCCCCACCCATGAACCATTCAGACTGTTTTCTTGTAGGAGAAAAACAAAAGATGGCCACCAGAGATCAGATCCAAGTCCAAAATAAATCACCTTCTTACCTGAGGCCAAGCCAGTTTTATAGTAGATTTATTGTGTTTTGCTTTTTGGAGGGTGCTCATATGTATGTGGTCAGTAGCACATATGCAGTGTGTGACCCAGCCTCCCTCTCACGTTACGCCCTATTTATATCCTCCCCTCTGCCGGCTCCCCTCGTTCTGCAGTTCCTAGGAACCTCCTTCTGCTCCCAGCCTTGAGCTCCAGTGCCCTGTTCCTCCTGACATCTGAGAGTCTCTGCCACAATTTATCCTGCGCTAACTCTTTATGCTGTGCAGCCTGGCAACTGGCTGCATGCTCCGGATTACCACAGGACGCCCATTTCCAAACACTTTATTTTCTGCTCTGACTATTTGAATTTTTTAACTGAAGGAAAAGTTTTGGGATAGTCAGGGGAAAAAGGAGAAGCATTCTGGATATATGCTTGTGGCCTTTTTGTTTTTGGCAGATTTAGTAACTTTACCACTTTTCACTTGCCATTCTCACCTTTCCTGGAGGGCCGTGTGTGTTTGCGTGCGATGGATCACACTCTGTTTGGCTGCCTGCGGAGCACTCATGTCCCGACACAGGCCCTGCATCCCGCCTTCACACAGTCACCTTTGACTCTCCACGGACGCTCGGACCATGTCTCCTACCCTGACCTGGCCTCTTCATCTTCCTCTTCCTCCACCTCTTCACCCTCGCCCTGCGTTATCTCCAGCTACCCGGCCGATGATGGCCTGTTTCCCGGGCAGCACCACCACCATCCCCACCGGGGTCACTTGCCGTCCCAGCAGCATCACCACCCGCCTCAGCACCATGGATCTTGGCATATCCCACAGATGTCTTCACCTGGCAGCAGCATACGCCACAGTCTTTGCCAGCCGCACTCTCATTCACCCCATAACAGCGGCCCCACACCCCCAGACCTGGCCCACCCTGGTGGCCCCAGTATGTGCGCCAGCACCCCTAGTGTGGGCAGTGGCAGCACCCCTACAGGGGCCTCCTGTGTGCCTGCAGATTTTGGCAGACAGACTCTGTCACCTGCTGAGGCTGAGAAGAGGAATGGAAAGAGGAAAAGTGACAGTTCAGGTAAGAGGAGCTGAGGTCAAACCTTTTAAGCCAGGAGTGAAGGACTGGAACAACTAATGCCACATAATTTACTACAAATATTATAAATAAATAAGCAGTTTTTGAGAAACTGCACAACAAAGCCCTTCATTTGAAATAGTTTGGAGACATTTCCAACAGTGTTTTTACTAGATAAACATCACTGCATAAGTATCGGCACTGTAAGACATTCCAAGCAGCACTCAAGAATAACACAAACATCTGTACTTGTCGTTCTAAATCTTTCACCAGCACATAACTGCAGAGACTCTGATGGAACAAACAAAGAACTGTGAGAAAACCAGTTTGTAGGTGTCGGCTGACACGTTGCGGCTGCAGGCAACAGACATAATGAGGCCAAGATCACATCATAACTGGCATGTTTTGTTTGAAAATCACATCTGGTTTGGTGCGACACTCTTTAGGGCAGAAAGTGAGGCACAGAGCAAAGAATCAATGTCATGGGTTGTAAAAGGCTACAAGGGGGCCTCGTGCCTCATTTTAGTTTGAGTGTGAAAACACTAAAGAGGATATTTTATAGCTTTATTTTACATGAAATATGAATTATTTCAATATCTCAATCAATCAATCAATCATAAACTTTATGGCCAAGTTTGTTAAAATACAAGAAATTTGACTAGCTCAGTGGCCCCCGATGTGCACCAAATAAAACAGAATAAAACACAGAATAACAAGTATAAAAACAAGAAGACCAACAACTACATATTGATAAATATGTACATATTTACATATATATCCCTAGTAAGCATGTTTGTTGATCTAAAATGTGCCTAAAGACCAGTTAGAAAGATTTAGCTGATTTATATACAGGCATGCTGCATGTTTTGTACAGTAACATCCATAAGCCTTAGAAACATTTTTCACTTTGCTATAGCTGTAGTTTAAGGCAGCTGCAAGTGTCCCCATCTTGGTCTCTTTAAAATCAGTGGCCAGTTTAAAGTTTTCTGAGATGGTCTTTAAATTATGCACCTGTACTTAAAGCTCTTTCTTGTCCTGTCACAGCCATTTACTAGTATAACTTATTAATGACAATACATAAAAACTTTGGCGCATTAATTGCCAAACCCCTGTTTTAGGATTGTAATCATATAGGTAACACCTCTCTGTTGACTTGCAGAACATTTCCGACCTGCAGTCACCACAGTAATCAATCACTGCGTGACAGACTGCTGGGGTCGGGTCACAGGACTTCTTATAGGGAACGTGATCTTAGTGAGAGTTCTTAGTTTTCCAGGGAAAGTGTGCTCATCATTCTCTCGGTCCATTTGAGGACTGTGGCCCTCAGCGCAGACCCTACAGCCTTTTAAAGGCCTGTCTGCATAGTGAACCACCTGCGTTTTACCACCAACTGACATAATCACATGCGATTAGTTTTCTCTCAGGATGCTGGTGGTCATCTCAGAGGTCATCTGTTCCCTCTGACAGGTCGGCTGTTGCTGCAGTTTGCAGAACTCAAGTGTGCAAAATATAACAGGATTCGCGACTGAGCAGATAAAGTTCATATTGCTCACCGAGCTCCAGCGGTCATAGTAATGTGCTGAAAAAGAAAATATTTATTCAATATAGAATATGTAAAATGATGTAACGACAGATTTTCAAGAACTTGGATGCCTTAATTTTCAGTGTATAGTGCTAAATTTATAATGCAGCTTTCAGTGTTAAATGCCCTGTTATCCACATGCAAAATTTTACAATGGTATATTTAGTGCACAAATTCAGCACGCCATCTATTTCCTTTTCTCCTGTGTCAAACCTTTTAGAAAGTGAGCGAGTCCTCCTTCCCTCTATAACAAGAGTTGGATGTACCATGCATTCTCTCCACGCTAACACCAATCATGCTAATTATTGGGGCTGACTAGGTTGCTGACTCAATCAGCTGTCTAAATATCACACCACTGCCAGTTGCGTGATACAGAGCCCTGATTAGGTTTTGCCGTCTGGACTAGAAACCAGGGTAAAACCTGGATTTAGATACAGAAATAACAGCAGAACCTTAGAGCTCATTTCAATGCTAGGTTTACCTCCTTTGACTCAAATATGAAATATCTCAACTTTCTGTGTCTAATTCCTGGTTGCGATTGTTTCCCTAAGGAAGGCCACGGCGCTCCTTAGTATTGCATGTCTGGTTCCTGAGGAACCTGCTCATTCTTTGTGGGCCCGCTGGAGAAGCCCTATAGAGTGTTGGTTGGTGCACTTTGCTGAGTTCCTATGTTGCATTTGCCAAGACTAGTGCAGTCAAGGGAGTGGTCGATCTTTAAAAAGTTACTAGATTCTTTTGTGCGGAACAACAAAAAGCACTTGAAGTTTTATTTTGTTGAGGCGGTGTTGTAAAACGGCGGGGTGAAGTGCCAAAGACCTCTCGCTGACAACTGAGCTTTCATTGAAGAAGAATTAGGAAAACATTACAGATGTGTTCATGTATTTGACTTCATTCTTGTGTGCTGCTGCAGTATTATTTTACCAAAGGAAAATTTTAAGGCATTGCAACTTTCACTGTAAGCAAACAACCTGCATGCCGTTTTCCATTGTGACTACATTTCTGACGTCCATTCTCACTTTGAAAAGAATGAGACATTTTTGAGAGGGTCCTGCTGCACTGAGCTCATTTGGGAAACCTAAATGATGTGCCCTGTCTGGGTGCGTGTATTTCTCTCATATTATTCCTCCTTTTTTTATGGAGAGATGAAAGTTACAGCGGGGACCTAATTGCTGTGGTGTAGTGGCTGTGTCATAAAAGCCCGCCGCTGGTTTTAACTCCAGGCCCGCTGGTCTGAAGCAGCTGCTTGTGTTATTCTTTTATTTCTCTTTACACAATGTCTGTGTTTACCAGAGGGAGAGTGGATAAATATGCTGAACTCTCGCTTCCATCAGCCACACACAGTTTGGAGCGTTCGGTTTGAAATTACAGGGAGGGAAAGACAAGGTCAGGGGGGAGCCAGACCCAGGCTGCGGGTCAAGCAATCATCTGTTTCATTTTGTAAAATTTCATGTGGGAATTCTTACAGTTTATATGTTTATTTTGTTTGCCCTTGGCTCTAAAACTGCCTTACAAATATAACTTTTGTAGAGCAGTTTCAATTTACTTCTCTTCTTCTGTTCTGCCTCTCAAGGGAGTTATTTTGCTCTGAAAAAACATACACTTAATTAGAAGGAAGATCTTTCTGGCAGAAAGACAGACCCAACAAGGGTCCCTCCAGGGAGAACTCTTAGGTGAAGACAGTTTCTGCTCTGACGTGGCTTCAGGCTTCGCACCGTCTAGGGGTCTGGCTCTGAGCTGCAGGACTATTTACAGTTTGGCTTGACACAGGCCTGCTGGATTAACACACAGCAGAATTGGACCGCAGATGAATTAGCATGCAATCACTGCTGCCTTCAAGTGCAACGTGCAACTGAAGCATGTCCAGCAGAGAAACCACAAAGGCTGCACACAATAGGAAAGTTTTGGAGAACTACGTGTTTTTTCTTCAAAAAGTTTGTGGAAATTCCAAAAGAAAAAGTACTTTTCTGGAGAGATGAGCTAAAGTGGAGATTACATTTTTTTAAATATGTATATCTAAGATTAAAAAAAAATGTTGCAAGGACATTTCTTGCATTTGGTACTCACATGTACTTTTCATTTTCATTACTACATTATTAAATTGCCCCCACTGTGCTTTTTGTTCTGTTATCAGGTAATATTTTATGTTAAGAATGCATGGTGTTTTCTTAAAGATCCTAGCCCAGGAATGTTCACCTTATGATTTGACATACTTCTTGTTGTTTAATAGCTTTCTAAGATGTGCAAAACAATGTGAATCAAATGATTTAAAAAATGAAAGCCACCAAATGAAGAAATGCTTGAGTTAAAAAAAGAAAAGGTGAAAAAAAAAAGGTAGTCTATAGCCTCAGGTTTTGTCGTATGTTTTAAAGAAATAAGGTTGTAGCAGCAGATTGGTTTCAAGTCACATCATATCCATGGTGACAGTGTAAAGCAGCTTATTGGAACAGCACAGCTGCCTGTGAGTTCTTCCAGCCACTTAGTGTTCATAAACAATGACTGAACAGTAAAGTGTGAGTGACAGCACCATTTTTCCTACCTCGCCTCTTTCCTGCCGACTTCCACCTGCCACGTAACATCTGCTATACTTTTATTTTTGTAGCATATAAATCTGAGTGAAACAGAAACCTGTGTTGTGTTTGGTTTCAGAGTCGCAGGATGGGAATTACAAGTCAGACGTGAGCAGCAAACCCAGGAAGGAAAGGACGGCGTTCACCAAGGAGCAGATCCGAGAGCTTGAGGCTGAGTTCGCCCACCACAACTACCTAACCAGACTAAGGCGCTATGAGATTGCCGTCAACCTCGACCTCACCGAAAGACAGGTATGTTCCTACCCATCACTGCTTGTTTCCCCCTGGGTCCAGACATTACTGAATCCCCCACAATTAACACATTAACACCATGTTGTGAAAACATCAGTGACCTTGGGACAAGGAGGAGACTTTTCAGCTTGCTACTGTGTTTTTGCAACTTCAGTGTGAGGGGCTATTGTGCTCCAGATGTGGCTGTGTGACGGGACTATCATATTCCAGATGTTCCTGTCTATTCTTTCTAGCGGGACACAGTCGAGGCAGGGAGACGGACTGAAGGAAGTTCTGTCTAGCAAGTCACTTCCTTTCTCCCACTACCCCTGAAAGCACAAATTGGTCTCCATATGTTACAGGCACTGTAAAACGCAGGCACATGAAATAAATAACAGGAGACAAATGATTGGGGGAAGGAAACATCATACAGCCTGTTGTTCTCTGACACCAGTTTGAAAGTTACACTTAGCTGACACCTTGCCAGTAATATTTTGCAGTGTGATACACTGAAGATTGAATGTAAAGAACAGACTGGAGTGGGAAATGAGTATACCATAACATTTTCAGGTGCTGGACATGCATTAGATCGAAAAATTATGTGTGTGGGCCTTATAGCTTGTGTTTGTATCTACGTAATATGCTAAATTAAAAAGTAATGATGATTGCATAAAGCCAAGTACAGGCAAAACAAAACAAAAACAAGCAAACAAAAAATTCTTATGAACATTTGTGTATATGTATCTCCTAAATAAATGCAAATAATGATTCTAGTAAACCTTTCTCACCTCAAAAAACAAGTGAAACAAATATCAAATGGCTCCTTTCCTGTTACCTTCCTTTTAAACATTTATGAAACACACAAAATATTAATTTTGAATTAATGTTCATAGAAAAGTCATAAGCTTTATTTAAATTAACTGTCAGTGAGCAAACCTCAAATGTATATGATGTATGAATTTCTCAAAAAAACATCAGAAACGGTTGTTCCACCACTTCTGTTCTTCAGTAAATGCATCATGACACTATCAACATGGCATTAACAGCTCTGACTGCAGCCTCAGTAGATTGTTGATCCATTTGGATGTGACACAGTGAGCAAAAACTCCACTAGTGTCGCCATGGCTAAACTGATGGTATAGACTAAGGGAATCTCCCCCCAGTGAATGAAACTCTGCAGATGTGTTTTAAGTGTGAGCAGTAAACCTGCACAGTTGCATGTAACTTCTTACTAACTGGAAACTATGACATGAAAACTAACAAATGTATTATAAACTTTTTAAGTAACCCTCTGCTTTTGCTTCACATTTGCAAAGTTGAAAAATAAAAATACCATCACATCAGGTGAAATGCCATTAACTCCATGGGGCCACCAGGCACAAAGTTTGGCCCCATAATTCCACTTCAGGCTTCTCCCAGGCTGTTGTAGTTAATCTTTAGGTTACTCCAAACATCATAAAATGTGTATGAAATGTCTTTAGCCCATGCTGCATAGACTGTGTGTGTGACCTCGGGTTTTTATGAGGGAAAATACAGCAGATAGTGAGATAAATATTGGCAATACAGGCCAAAGTGCTTGATTTATGGTGCATGAGCTGTTAGGAGAAAACCGATTGAGGTTTTACAGTATGTCTTTGTCTGCCATGAAAACTGAAGTATTTTCAAAGATAGCAGAGGTGAAGCTCCAGGGGCTGCTGTCGTAGGCTGAGAGTTTAAACCAGCATGGCAAATAAAAGGACTGAAGTATCTTCAATAAGCATACAGTAGATGTTATATGGGTAAAGGTCGAGATTAAATCTGGGCTAAATTTTGGTGAAGAACGAATGTTGCTTTGGACCCTTTTCTGTGACTAACCTACATCTAGAAAGGCACTTTTCAACCAAATTGAGTCCAGCTTTAACTGAGATGTCTAAACACTGTTTGACTAGCAAATCAAATCACACAAATAAAGTGTTTGTAGTGTTCTTTTAATCATGTATTTTATCATCACTTGTGCGTTTCTTGGTATAGTGTGTTCCATGCAGTAACAGTGATGGAGCCAGTTTGTGCTCCATAGATGCATAACAAGTTTTGAACCAGTGGATGTGCAAAGGTTCAAATAGATGTTGAGCTCAGGTGTGTTGTGATTTAGTGTTTACTGTAGGTGTAATGTCAAGCAGTGCAGGTACTGTGTGGGTTAGTGAGTCTGTCCACAGAAGCCTTGAGGCTTCAGTGTCTGGTTGGATATTAGAGCCTTTCATCAGTGAGTGATCAGAGGCTTATAAAGAACCAGAGATGATACTCAGCACAATGTGTAAGAAAAATATTTCTGTCAACTAACTTCCTGACCACGTGATCGCTCTGTCCCCTCGGAATGACAAGCCCCAAAAATAAACCCACCCCACCCTGGGTGAGGTGGGTTTGAGCTCAGCCTCTCCCCTCCTCCACCTTCTCCAGTGTGTCAACACTCAGGAAGCTTTTGCTGCTACTTGACGTGTCAACCGTTTTAAGCAACAGCTTAATCATCAGTCCGAGAGATGTAAATACGGTTGAGGTTGTTGAGTCAGGGAAAAACCAGTAGCCATCACGTGGCAGATGGAACAGAGTGGGCACACACAAATGCTGCTTCATAAGCAGAAATAGCTTCACAACTTTTAGACAAAGTTGTTGTCAAGTATTTAGACTTCCTAACTGCTTCTTGGTTATTTTTTGTGCCTGCTCTCTCTGTCTTTAAGAGCAATAAATTGGACATTTTCTGTCTGCTTCTAGGTGAAGGTGTGGTTTCAGAACAGGAGGATGAAGTGGAAAAGAGTGAAGGGCGGCCAACAGGGAGCAGCAGCTCGAGAGAAAGAACTAGTGAATGTGAAAAAGGGGACACTGCTGCCATCAGAGTTCTCTGGCATCGCAGCCCTCCATCATTCAACGGACTCCTTAGCCAATGAGGACAGTCATGACAGCGACCAGAGCTCTGACCATGCTCACTTATGATGCACAGACCCTCGTCCCCACCCCATCAGAGAAAAGGCCCTGCCTCTGCCTCAGGACTGTCCTTAAAAGGGCTGCTGTTTGCTGATTCGCCATCGTCATACAACGATGCTAAATAAGTGTACAAATGTACTGCGGAATGACGTGGGTTAGAAAAACCAGTTATTGTGAAGGCAAAATGTAAGTTTTCAAGAACTGAGATGAGAAGATGGTGAAATATTTCAAACTGCCAAAATGGTCAAAAATGGCCTTCATATATGAAAAGAAAAGGAGTCTTATACTTACTGAAATGTGATGCCTTGGCTACAGAAATTCACTGAATAATACAGAACATTTTGGAAATCATATTAGGTCGAACTGTTGTAAACATTCCATGTTTTGTGCTTTGAGAGACGCAGGCTCAAGCTTTGATTTGCACTGCTGAACATACAGCCTGCACCTCAATCAGTTTCTATTGTATAAAATGTAAATTACAGTGTAACTGAGTTACTGATCAAATCAAGTGCCAGGAGATCAAATTTGCCTAGCTAATATAAATGATCTGTAAATAATTCTCAGTATTGTCTTACCTTAACAATAATTTTATACCCCCACTATCCAGCTCATGCAATAATAAAAACACTGACAGTCAACACTTTTCTGCCTGGACACGGCAATTTGTAAACAAAGAAAACCTGAAATAAGTACTTTATCATATCTTTTCAGGGACAGTTGCACGTCAAATAAAATTTAACCAGTAGTGAATGGAATTTATGCTTTTATAATGTCTTTCCATCTTTGCAGCCACATGAATCCAGGCTGATCTATTTATGTTTCATGAAGTGAAGTTGAAATGAATTAAACATTGCGGGGAGTGTAGAAAGCTGCATGGTGATGGGGCTGCATGCTAAATTCACCTTTGCCTTGGGGGAGGGTCGAGACTCCTGCCAAGATTTAGGAGAGAGAACCCACAAAGGATCGGATTCTGTTACAAAATCCAGTTGAAAATAATTTTGTGACTTGATCTCATCTTTCACCACATTGTGATTGTGCATTCTAATTTGTTGAGGAGCCGCTTCACATGGCATGGTTTTAATATTCTGTCTCCTTTCCCCCAGAGCAACCCACAGAGCAACCCACAGAATGAATATGATCCTTTTTTTTCACTACAACTGTAATTCAATGCAAAGTATTCACAAATATATAGGGCGCTTACTACTTCACCTTCCACTGGGCCTTAACAGTCTAACTTGTGCACAATATTAGCCCAGTTACACAGACTGTAAATTTACTCATATACGAGTCACAGCACTCACCTGCAAATATGGCCTTCACTTTACCTGCAGCAACCAACTGCTGTCTGACTCTTGATTCTTAATGTTAAAACAGTAAGCACATTTGTCCTAAACTTAATACGTGCACTTAAATTCATGTGTGACAAACCTGCTGTGTCAGAGGGTCTGATGTATTAGGACTGTATAAAGCTGGGCTAAGGTCTCTGAACACCAGTATGTTTTCCAAACTATAGAATTGCATTTATTTTAGTTTCCTACTAAGTAAATGAGTTAATAATATGGAACCCTATTCCATCCATCCATCCATCCATTTTCCTCCGCTTATCCGGGACCGGGTTGCAGGGGCAGCAGTCTAAGCAAAGATACCCAGACTTCCCTCTCTCCAGACACTTCCTCCAGCTCCTCCGGGGGGATGCCGAGGCGTTCCCAGGCCAGCCGAGAGACATAGTCCCTCCAGCGGGTCCTGGGTCTTCCCCGGGGCCTCCTCCCGGTGGGACATGCCCGGAACACCTCCCTAGGAAGGCGCCCAGGAGGCATCCAAAACAGATGCCCGAGCCACCTCAGCTGGCTCCTCTCGATGTGGAGGAGCAGCGGTTCTACTCTGAGCTCCTCCCGGGTGACCGTAACCCTATTGTTAACATTAAATGATATTTGGACCAAACATTAGGTGCTGCAGTGTCTATCAGGATGTAAATGACATATATCGGCTGCATGACCTCATACTGACTCTACATTGTATCTGTTTGGGCTATAGCTCAGTGCAAGTATGTCCTGTTGTAGGTACCTACAACATACATGTTGATTTATAGTCCAGCCTACAGATATCCCTGGACTTTCTCACTATCTCCGGTCACCTGACTCTGGCCTGCTCAACTGCACACCTGCCCTCAGTTACTGGTTTACCTGTCTGTTCTGTTTGCCTGTTTGTAGCCTCCTGCTAGTTTTTCAGACATTGCCTTTTTTGTTCCTCTGAACTTCTGTCATTGTTTGTATTGTCAACTGTCTTCCAGCCTCCACAAGATCCTTGATTTAGTTTGCCTGGATTCAGTAAACCTGTCATCTCTGCCATTCCTGTCTGCCTGGTTACCTGCACTTGGGTCTACTCTTTTTGCTGTTATGCTCAAAATCATGCTCAAATTCGATCTGAACAAACACGAGGTCTTACAAATGTGATGCTTATGACAGATTCTTCAAGTCTCACTCTGTGAGCATCTCTGTAACAGAACTATTTGATTGCATTGCAACCATCAGCCACTGACAGAAGAACAAATACAAAAACAGCGACTGTGATGGTTTGGGCATGTTTGCAGAATGCTTGGAAACCAACTACCGCACAAACTACTTTGGAGGGAACAAGCCACCCAGTGGAGAATTCAGTGGTCAGCACCAAAGAAAACATGGGACAAACAGATTGGAGAAGCATCAGACTCACACTTGGAGAGCTCTCATGAACAAAATCCACAAACCATTGGAACCTACAGCCACATATTGGCTTAGGGGCAATCCCATATAGACTATATAGACAACTAAGAACCGAACAAAAAAGAAGAAATTATACACAAAAGCATAACATCCAAGTAAATTATCACATTATTTTGCTGTGTCATATTACTGACCAGGAGACTAGGCCTAGGTGATATCTCCATCAATGCAATAAGCCTGACATATACAGTAGTAATATTGTGGACCAGGTGCACATGTAAATTAGGACAATAACAGTACATTCACATTGAGCCAGAAAAAAAATGCAAATTCCGGCTGTGTTTTAACACAAGGGGCTGCTTGGTTGGTTGGCTTGTGAGGTGGTATGGGGGGGGGGGTTTAGACGTGTATGATATGGCCATGTTGTGATGAGTCATGAGTGGCTTCATTCATGTTTACAGCCCAGACGTTTGCATTTTGTTTTGGTTAATCATGCTGCTAACCTAGCCCGGTCTATCTTACCACCAATTCTACCACCAGTGTGTCAGCCTTGACAGATAAAAAACAGTTTAATATCCATTACGGACAAAAATGCATGCTGTATCATTATGGTGCATTAACTGTGGCCCAAATTTGACGGTGAATAGCAGTGAATGCTCATGTTAACCAAGGTAAACAAGGCATCCACGTCCCAATCATCCCTCGTATGTGATAGATTAACACAGCGCCTGCCTGGTGCCGTGAAAATTGAACTAGATCTAACTTTTGTGTTGGTGAGCACAAGCCCAGCAGTCCAGAATGAATGAATGCATGTTTATTTTGAACAAAGAATAAAATTGATGAGGTATCATATCAAATAATGTGCTGCTGTATTGTTTCAATGTAATACAGGATGATTTACAGACCACTATTTTCAGTTTTAATTTTGATTTTACATACAGCTTTTTCTGATTTGCTGTTGTAAATTTTGTCTAATTAAATGAAAGGAGATTACTGTACAGATGACATGGTTGATGACACTTGGTTAAAATGGAAGCTGATTAAAATCCTGTGGAGGTGGGGGAGAGGGGGCTGGGGGAACTTTGTGGTTCTAAAATTCTGCTATGGCCCTGTTGAGTACTTTATACCATGGCGAGCTAGTGGGCTCAAGGGATTCTGTCAAGGAATGACACTGGAGTCAGGCTGTTTATCCCAGATCTGCTTTTATTACCCACACACAGCATAGAACAACACAAATGTAATGTATAATTCAACCCCTGCACCCCCCCACATGATTATCTCGACTTTAGCTGGCAAGGAAACTTCACTGTGCAATACATACTGTAGAAGAGTATAAAGGCAAACTCTCGCGAGATACAGCGACACGGACTGCGCGACAGGTATCATATTTTCTCGACTAAAGGTCGGTTCGCTTCCTACTGTGCATAAGAAGCAGGATCTGAGGTCATATTTTCACAGAAACTGTCTTGCAGCCGCCATAATCTATCAAGCTTATCCTGTCAGTGTTAAGTTTGCTCCTGCTCTGCTTTGTGCTCCATTACGTAACTGACCTAGTTAACTTGAGAAAGCGAAAGAGGCGGTTTACCGGAGAATAGAAGTTAAAAGGAACGTCCCCCGTGCGTGCTGGTAGTCTCCTACCTGTACAGGTAACAGAAAGTCTCCTGCAGCACAACGGGGATTACAGTGCTGGCAATGGCTGAAGCTATGGTGCCCAGCTCGATGTTCACCGAAGTTCGGGCCATGTTTTTAATGCTCACACCGACTGAAGCATCTTTTCAGAAAGTAGAAGATGTTCCTCGGTATGTGCAGCAGGTGGGTGTACCCTCCTTCTTAATGGCTTGTAATGAATGCGATGACTTCTTGTTTAAGCGTCAGACGACTCCCCCCCCTCCTTGCTCCGTGCGCAACACCACTGCGTTTAATCTAACAATCCTCCAAAATGATATGGCAATAGTGTGAGGTTGTTGTTCAACTGTTTTAGAAGAGATGTATATCAGTTCCTCTTTGGAAATATGGAGCATTTGATTTTTATGCAGCTTCAAAATCAGTAAAAACTATTTTCTAATACAAAAAATACAGGACATTTAATGTGATAATTCTCCAAAGGAATACAGTATAACTTCTAGGAGACATACTTATCATTCCCTGCCCAGAACTATGGGCTAATATCTTTTTATTCTGCCTCAAAGTCCATAACAAAGGGTATGTCTTTATAAATATACTGGACATTTAATCCCAAATTTCTCTAAAATGGTACAGTGTAACTACTCAGTTTTTGTGGAATTGTAGTCTACCTCCTCTAGAACAGAAAAGCATCAGTCCTTGTAATTATTCACCGAACTGTTTTTATGCAGCCTCAAAGTGCACAACAAAAGCTGTGTATTTGTACAAATATAGGACCTTTAAATTTGAAATTTGTGCTAAATGGTACAGCAAAAAATATTGTACTCTTTGTGAGGTTGTAGTCTGACTCTCCTAGAACAGAAAACCAAGAGTGTGTGATTCACAGCAGCACATCTATACTCAGCAACTTTCTGATAATTAATTGTTTCAGTCTGTTTCAAGCATATAGGCACATCTCCACATCTCCTTGGGCTGTTGCGAAATCCTAATGGTAATTCTTCACTATGTTCAGCCATTATATAGACAAATCATTAATCAACTAATTTGGGAAAATAATCAGCAGATTGCTTGGTAATGAAAACACTTACTGTATGTTCCAAGCTGACTAGATATTCAACATTAGCCTTCAGAGCCTGACTTTTTCTGATACTCTACAACAGACACATTTCAGTCAGCACTAGAAGTATTGAGGTTCAAGATTCAACCCCACTTATAAATGAAAACACAGTTATGTCAGTACATTGTAACGTACTCTAAGCTGCCTGGAGTGAAATATAAGAAGAGCCTGAAACTGCTTAAGTGCATTAGCCTAAATGCACTTAATAATTTTGTACATTTCTTCTACTTCTTGCTCTATGTTTACAGTGTCTCATTTGCCTTTTATTATGGCTAGTGAGTGTCTGGGGCAGGTTCAACAAGGTTTTATGGGGCACATCAGGGGAGGAGAACAATTACCCTCCCAGCAGGATTTTTTTTGCCAGACATGAGTAAACACATTTGTTATTGCTGCAGGCTTTGATAGCGATAACATTTTGCATGGTGTGTGTGAACAGTTTCCGACTCAACACTGTTTACATTTTGTGATGTCAATGATTATCGTGCACAACTAGTACTCTGTGATCCCAACAAGAAAAATGAATTAGAAACAAAACAACTCATTCTTCTGATTTTGCTGTTTGGGGGTTGTTGCTAACTATTCTGCGATGGGAATGTGTTTGTCAGACAGCAGCGATAAAAGTGTACTGTCAGCTGGCATGTCTTCAGCCAAAGTTTCTCATCTGTGACCTTATAAAAATGCAGTTTGGGGAAACTACACACATCTGGTCCACACATGTCTTGTTCTATGTAAGAAAATAATAAGATTATTAAATGCCACAGCAAACATGAGTTTCAAGTGTGCGGAAGTGTAAAACTAAAACAGGCTTTTAATGAAATCTATAAAAAAAAGATAAAAACATTGCAAAGGGGGACAGAGAAAAAACATTTTTGTGAAATAGAGAAAGGATAAAAAAATGGAGACACTGATAAAAAAAAGTCCAGAGATGCTATGTAAAAAAAAAAACTCCTGTCTTCTTTTCTGAACAACATGACAATCAGCTTGCTCTGCTAAGAATTTTGTCCTGAGGTGTCAGGGCTGCAGAGGTAAAACCATCTGCTAGACAGGAGAGGAAAAAAAAGAGTGAAGGTTTGAGTTCAGACACGTCCAGAACGATAATCTCTCTCTCTCTCTCAGCGGGTTTGGGGGCGGTCCGCCTGTGCTGCGAATCCATTTGTTAGCCACAGCTCTGCACTCTGCTGCCAGATGTTGGGGCGTTCGCATGTGATCACAGGTCCCTGGAGGTGCTCTCGCCTCTGCTCGTGCACACACACCACACACCTGCATGCTAAAATGGAAGCACTCAACATGTGAATGTGCGCACACTTTCACACACATTTGCTCTCACTTCCATCCACACATGAACACAGAGACACTTTCTCCCAAACCACCTGCAGATGTGCTTCTCTGCGCTCTTGTCACGCTCCTCACTTCTTGCTCTTGATGAGGGCATGTGTGTCCCAGTTACAACTGCAGTCAATTGGTCACTGAGTGGCTTCAAGTTGAAGCTAACCAGCAGGGCCAACACGGGTCGCACTTGTGACCTGTTTGCTATCCGGGTCCTTAACTAATTTGTTCCATGTTTGACAGACCCATTAACAGGTTATTACATGTTTCCAGCACAGTTAGAACTAGAGACCTACCACTGTTTGGTTGCACCATTTGTACCACATTAGGTGCTTCTAATATAGTAAGATGGATTTTTAAATTAAACATGTCGAAGAGATGTCTCTAGCACTATTAGCAGCCAACTGTTACCAGCTTCTAAAAAGCTGCACAGTGCTGATTTCTTCTTTTACTGTTGTACCTATTCTGAAATAGAACCTCAAGAACTGGTGATTTGGACCATTAAACATCATGTGTTCACATATAGAATTGCAAAGTGGGCTAAGTTATTTCTGGAGAGCACGGTTCCACAAGTGAAGTTCATTTTCTGCATAGGCAATGTTAGGTAGCACCTCCAACGCTTGAATAGGCATCAAACAATCCTGGCTCAATTAAGGGCACAAAAAATGAGTGACAGTGTTGGAAAATATCTGGTTCTTTGATGCAAAAGTCACAAGTGTCAGCAGCAAGAAGCATTTTGGTGAGAACCATCTAGTTAGTGAGATTAAAATTCAGTTGTTTTTGCGTTAATGGAAACTTCCAGTTAGTAATGATTTGTGAAAAATTGAAGATACAGTAAATGCAGTTTTTCTTTTTGTTATGGATTCATGTTGGATGAATTTAACAACTATGGTACAGCAATTTGTTTCCAGTTTTAGTGACAGAACGTTGTGAATTAGCTTCAGTTGTGATTAATGGCTTATTCTCCATAGCAACTGCAGCCCTAATGTTTAACTCAACCATTGAGCTCATTTCTACCTCCAGAGCAGTTCTGCTGAGACAAATGTTTGTGATGTCCAGTCTGCCAGTACACCGTGGCGTTAGACCCGCTGCTCCAGCCTCATACAGTGAAGCAAACATCACGGATCACAAAACATCAAAGTCTGGCAAACTTTTAGCTCATTTGCCAAAATAAATACTCAGGCTCAATACGACTGGTAAAAGCAACAGTGGACCTGAAACCGTTTTGTTTTCACAGTTTGTAACACTGCTTGATCATGGTTCTTCGTGTGTGTGTGTGTGTGTGTGTGTGTGCGCGTGTGCATGCAGGCCACTCCTGTCTTTGTGGGGCTGATGCTGCTGGAGCTGGTGGTGGGTTTGCTGAAGACAGGAACCTCGGTGGTCACCATCAGTGATGGACTCACCTCCTTATCTGCTGGAATGATCTCCAGACTCCCACAGTGAGCATTTACACCGTCAGATCATGCTGCATGATATGGCAGGATGGTAGTAGTGTGTGACGTACCAGACAAAGTTAATGTGTTGCTGGATTTAATTGCTTGATTTTTTTTTTTTTTTTTTTTTATTAAGCATTTTATTTTTATCTCAGCTGCCTTTCTGGTTTTGACACTTGGGTGAGAACATTAACAGTGCAGAGGTTTGCGTCTCATAATGCAGCCAGATCTGTTTCATACTCATTTGTTTTTGCTACAGTAGACGGCAGACTATCTGTGCTGCCTCCTGTACTGTACAGTGTAGAACAGACGCTGCCTCATCATTATGTACTCTGTCTTGAAATGTGGACTTCCACAGACATAGCCCTTGAAATGGAAAACGGCTCTAGCGTGTGGTCTCATCAAAGTGTTTGAGATTCAGCTGTGGTTGGAGGATTGACCTTTGATGTTTGTTCATACAGTATATAGTTGTACTCAAAGACCTAAGTACAATACAATGCTGAGTTATTTCTACTTATTTTCATTTTCTGCATATTTCAACTTTACTACATTTTAGAGAAAAATATTGTACTTTGTACTCTACATTTATTTGGTAAGTTTAGTAACTAGTTACTTTTCAGAATGAGATGCATAACACAACACAGAATAATCATCAGACTCTGTTCATCCCTGGTGGGGATGCCCAGCAGTATGTAAAGTACTTCATGTTATAAGTATATAACATTAGCTCCACCTTACTGCCTGCAACATTAAATGTGATGTGCACAATAACACATCAGGAGTTATAGTCCGATAATATGATATACATTGATGTGTAATGTGCCATTCTGCATAATGAGTACTTTTAGCACTTTAAGTGTGTAAGTATCAAGTAGTTTTGATGCTAATACTTTTGTACTTAATGCGGGACCTTTACTTGTAGCTGAGTATTTTTGCACTGTGGGATTGCTGCTTTCACGTAAATAAAGAATCTGAGTACTTCTTCCACCACTGTGTATACAGTAAAAGATACAGAGGGGTGACAAATGAAAGGAAAACCCTGGATAAATGAGTGCTACAACATTATCATCTCGGATGTCAAATACTGTCTGTATTTGACATCCGAGATGATAAATGAAATAAAATGAAACCCTGAAAAACTGACTGGTCTGATGAGGATGACCATGATGTGTGGCCTTCCCAGTCACCAGGTCTCAGCCCAGGTGAACAGCTATGGGAGATGTTGGAGCAACGTGTTAGACAGCGTCTCCACCATCGTCTCCACCATCGTCATCAAAACACCACATGAGAGAATCTTTTCTGGAAGAATGGTGTTCATCCCCTCCAGTAGAGTTCAGAGACTTGGCCAGTCAATGCCAAGGTGCACTGGAGCCGTTCTGGTGGCACGTGGTGGCCCAACCCCTCAATGAGACTCTTTGTGTTGGTTTATCTTTTAATTTGTCACTCGTCTGTTAGTGTGTGACGTTTTGTCTTGTTTCAGTGAAAAGCACAAGATGAACTGATCATAAGGGCAACTGTAAGATGAACTGCATGTTATATTTACTGTACATGGACCCACTGTGAACTGACAGAGCTCCACCTATCCTCTCACTCAGCTTGTTGATGAGAGGCTGTGAGCTGACTGCTTACATGTACGTGTGGGACCACTACCGCCTGGTGGAGCTGCCCTGGGACTCTGCCTGGACCTGGTGGTTCACCCTCGTGGGGGTGGACTTCTGCTACTACTGGGTCCACCGCTTCGCTCACGGTACCAGCACAAGACATTCACCTTGATGTACACAGCCCACAGAAAAGGCTAAAATTCATATGTATTACACAGATGCAAGTATACACCTTGTGAGCTTTGGTCAAGGTCAAAGGTCAAAGTGTTTATTTGTCATATGCACAGTTAGGAAACCTGTTTCTCCGTACAATGAAATTCTTACTTTGCCATCCACATGAATGCCACATAATACTGTACAAGTGAAATATAAAGTAGTTGAGCAATAACAAATTTAAATAGGCAGTAACACAAATCTAAGGCACTTTAAAGCAGCAAGTGAAAGAAGGACAATAAAAATGCAACAAGAGCAAAATATAATGCAGAGAGAATATATGCTACATGGGAGCCGTGATGTGCAAATACTTAGCAGTGAATGTGCAATTATGCATGTGCAAAATGAGTATGTAAACAGTGTGTGGTGTGAAAGCCGCTGCTCATAGGTGCAATTCACAAGTGATGAAACCCTCACCTGTCTGGAGCCTTTAAAGGTGTCTGTGACAGCTTTGAAGTTTGCTCCTTCATGGAGAGTGTCTGAAGTCAGCTCACATTCATGGTGTTTACTATGGATTTGAATAGTGACCAGTGTTCCTGGTGGAAAAGGTATTAAAATGTCATTTGAAACACATCATACCTTCAGCACCATCCGCTCCTCCACTGACCATCCATATGCCAGGTGACTTTTAAACAACTCCATCAGTTTTTACACAGTGACAGTAATGCTGTTTTTGTGTTCTCAGCGTATAAGTGTATTGATTATTAGATTACTTTAGCTGTGCACATTGTGCACTCCACTATCTTCCAGCACAAACTAACCTGGTCCTCCTCTTTCATGTTTCAACTAACAAAGGACTACAAAGCAAGCTGATGAGAATTGGTTGTAAAATGTTGATTTAGTTGCCATCTCTGCAGGCAGGAGTCATGAAGATAGCACACACATCATGCTTTCCTGGACGGTACAGAGGAAGCAATTATTTCTGAGTTACATCCAGCTGGTTTAGAGCCGTGCAGATGTGAGAGGCCGTGGTCTCCAGACGACTGTGGTTTTAACCCAGGGCTGTCACAGAAACAGGCTGTATTTAGTCATGGCTCTGAAGCAGCAGTGTCTTGCAGTATCACAATAAAAAAACAAAAAAAAAATGAACCGGATATAGCATTTCTTCAGTAGTGTCTCATCATTTTAGAAAATGACTCTTTCCTTGTGTGTCAGCCCACTGATGCACGTGCCAGATGCTCAGCTGCCACACACTGCACCGGAAGAGAGGTATTTATTTGTGGCCTGTGCCGCTCTTTATTTGTGTCAGTGGCACATCAAGCTGCCCGCCGTCTAGTCCACATAGCTTTGGATAAATGTCCCCTGCTGCTGTGTTGATGTTAGAATCAGGCTTAACCGAGGCTGTGTTTTTAAAGCGTCTGCTGCAGCTCGCCAAAAACTGGCCATCGTGATTTTGACTGAGAACATTGCCTCAGGATGTTTCATAGAAGTGCACACTGTTGGACATTTTTATACTATTGCACCACTTTGCTTTTGGCATGCGCTGGAAGTATTTTTTAGCTTTCAACACCATGGCAGAGAGCATGTTAGGCATTATTCCTGCCATAATGGTGTCTGTGTGTAGGTTTGGGATGTCTTCCTATGACTTGTTTTGTTCAGCTAAAAACAAATCAAAGAAATTCAGTTTACTCTAAGTGGGTTTCCATCTAAATGTTTTGCAAATTTTAACGGAATTTCCAGAAAATTAGCAAAAGAAAATTCCATTTCAACATCTGCCTGAAATTGAAAGTAAACAGAATATGAACTAATGTGGTACGGGGTATGTTGGAGAAACATAATAACTGTCCAGCTGTGTGTAAATGCAGGTTTTACAGTGACCACAACTGCAGCTCATGTGTGTAAACAGGAAAACCTGATTTGTTCTGTACATGTAAAAATCTTTAATGGTGGTTTTTAGAATGTGGTTGCACCAAAATGTGCACTCTGTTTGAAGAAGACTCTGCTGTGGTTTGTTCTAAAGTTATCAGAAGCAATTATGTAAAACAGTCACACACTGTGTCCAGCCGTTTTCCTCTTCTCAGTGTCCAGTTACATTTGTCCTCCGTCCTCAGCCGTGCATAAACCCCAGTTACATTTGTCCTCCGTCCTCAGCTGTGCATAAACCTCTGTGTGTTTTGAGTCATCCATGACTCTGTTGCGCTCTCTCAGCTTTACATTACAAGTTAAGATTATCACCTGTGATGCTGGTTTTGCTGGTGTTTCCTGGGACCTGGGCATGTTTCCCTGGCAGTAAACTTGAATGGTAATGTGTAATGATAAAATGCCAAGTTAACTCTTGGTGTCCTCATCTTGGCAGTAGGTCATGTAAACAAAGCTCCAGACTTGTTTTGAGGCTGTTAGAAACCAGGTTCAGTAGTCACTGGTCTTTTGAGGGCTGATGATCCATGTGCATGACCTTATCTTTAGACCTTATAGACTAATGTGTCTGCTGAATAATATCCAGTGAAACCTGAAAAAGCATTTAATGACATGTGTGTCCTGATGCAGAGAGATGACGCCTGCTGTGTCATGTTTCTGCATGGTTTATTCTACCAGAATTCTTTTGATGATAATGACAATGACTTTTATTGCTCTGTCCCTGCTGGGTGCTGTTCTGGCCATCGGGAACAAGTTGTGGTTCGGTGTCTTGCCCAAGGACAGTTCAACGTGTGGACTGGGGAGAATGGGAATCGAACTGGTGAACTTCCTGTTAGGGGGCGACTGCCCCACCTCCTGAACCACAGCCACCAGCCATTTTTGAGGCAGAATAATTTTTGTCTCAAACAAAAAAAAACAAAACAAAAAACGTTCCACTTGCTTTCAATTCCCCGTCTTCCAGCCTGTTGGGGTTGTTATTATGGAACATTGTGGGGTCACAGATAATCGTCTAGTGCTGAGTGCCCACAGCGCTCACTCAAGTTATATAAGCTTTTCCACTTGTTACCAGAGGGAAACGGCTCTCTCCGACCGCAGGACAGAGGCGGCACGGTCCTCACTCCTCACTCCGGTCAGCCGAGGTCATCTCGGTCAACCAGATTTTGACCTCTGGTTTTTTCCAGAGCATGGTTCAACTCAAATATTCCAATATGTGGAATAGATGAAGCCTTGAAGAGACATACAGTATGTAGGATGCAACTAGAAAGTATTTTTCAGGGCCTGTTTTGTTTGACCTGTTTTTGCATGAAAACAGCAGGAACACAAGCTGTAGTCCTAATGTGTCAAGACAGAAAAGCTATAAATCTTAATTTTGCATAATAAGGGAATTAGTGCAGTAGAAAACTACATGTAGGAGCACAAGTGACATTCTCTATCAGTGTATGATATTATTTTCAGTTTGACCAGTTTTATGGCCTTTTATTCATAGTTTCCCTCCTTTGGCTTCCACATGAAATGACAGCTTGAAGATAATTAAGTGGAAAGTACGGTCAGTCGTCAGTGCTGATGCCATTTAACTGAGGAGACATTAGTACTTTGCTTCGCTCAGACACTGTGCTCATGGAGATAGCAACAGACTGGAAGGAAAAGCACCTACACCAGTCTGCATATAGGCCTGGGTGAAATTCAGCAGTATTAGCAAAAGCCTGTGACTAGATTGTATTTGTGGCCTTTGCTTGGTATTTGGTCTGAGTCTGAGGCTGTGGTTAAAGTCGGGGCAAATAAGGAATTTCAAACATGTGAATAACCCTTGTGTACAGAGACTAAAAGTTTTATGTGAACTTTTCATCAATATTAGCTTAAACTCTTATCATTGGTGCATGTCCCAGAATCGGTATACTGTAGCTTTAGTGAGTCCTGCTGTTCTTTTTGCTTTTTCAGTTATATTTTGCTTTTTAAGAAGCAAAGATGCGAGTTTTCAACAAACTGACAAAGTACTGAATAGCTCTTACGACCTGTAGAATAACATGATCTTCGCTAAACATTTAACCACTTGTTTATGTATTAACGGCCATCTAAGCCATCGTATATAAACCCATTGGTTCAGTAAACCGGTGAATGACAGGCACAGAAAACAAAGTCCACATTTTTCCGCCATTTCCCCTCTGGTCCTCTTTCACTGTCAGACAGACTATATATGTTCAAAACCTTTCTATTCTCAACCAGCCTGAAACCAGATGAGCAGGAGTCCGACTTGGTTCAGATCAGACTATGTTGTTGACAGGCCTGTTGATTCTGTTTATTCTAACCTCCTATCGCAAGCGCCACTAATAGCAGCTCTGCTCTGGGGCAGCATCTATATCCAGGCATGCCAGCCAGGCTGAAGCCATTAATCAGCCAGTCAGATGTCCGTACTCTGATTATATATGAGGTAATGGAGTTATGCTGCAGTCGTCTTGCCAACTAACGGTTGCTGCTGTGTTACACTTATAGGCCCAAAGCGTCAGAGCATCAACTAAAGGGCTTGTGAAAAGGTTTCTTCTTTAATGTGATGTTGAAGCAGTCATAGATGGACCTTAAGTGTAAACCAGTTGGCTTTTAGTTATGGAGAGAAAGTCAGTTTGATCCGGTTGGAAAAGGAGAAAAATGGGATTGTTGAAAAAGCTGAGAGGCTATTAATGGTTGGATTTTTTTTTAGTTACACCCACAAGTTTAGCACATGGAAGATGCACTGTTTTTCAGGAAGCAAAAAGCTCCCAGAGCGTTCAGGTTCCCTTTTCTTGGGATTTTTAAACCGAGTCTGGGTTGTACTGTAGGTGTAAATAAACAGACTGCCATCCTGCGGTGGCATCTCACGTGTGCAGTTACATTGTAATGAAAGGAATGTACTTTTTACAGCTTTTGAAAAGAAATATGTCCAGAAGATCCCGCAGAAGCTGTTAGATGTTGAAAATGCCATTTAAATAAAGGTTATAATTTAACAAATCAGAACATCTTAGTGAAAGGTTTCAGTTGTTGGCTAGACGTGTTTTCGCTGGCAAATCACCAAAATCATCAGCTCCTGCAACTTTAAAATTCA